AGCAAGCAGAGAAAGGTCAGAGTGAAAGAGAAAAGTCTTGTGAGTGAATTGTTAATCCAGCAACCTGAGTGAAAACCAAAGGAAATAAACAGCGACAGCTGACAGACTCCCTCAGGACTAAGTGAAGTCACTGGAAGCCTGTAAGATTTAGAAATTATGCAAAAGACTCCTGAGTCCTGACATCAAAAAGTGGCTGAGAACGTGTTCTGAGCTGCAGCAGCTTCAGCTCTGCCTGTGCTGCACGGGGACGTCGGAGTGGATCACACACCACGTCTGAGACGGAACATGAACACGTGCAATGTAATGTGTCTGTTTACTTTATGGACACGGATTTTAAATACATTTCGAAGGTGAACCAAAATTTAATCTGTGTGTGTGTGTGCGTGTGTCAGAGAGAGAATGAAGATAGCAGCAGCGAAGACAGGAAAACAAAAAAAACAAAAGCGTATTTTCCTGAGACTCCTGTGGAGTAAAGACGTTGTCAAACTGAACTCTGCCGTCCATGAACTGCTTCAACATCTCCATACACACACACACACACACATACGAACACACACACTGAATGCTGCAACCGTCCTCCTGTCACCCCTCTGATACTGAGCTACGCTTCAGAATAGTAAACTTCTGCTCCTGTTTACAAGAAAAGGCTGAGTTTGAGCTCAGCTGTCTGAACACGCCAGTGTTTGCACTGACGTTAACCCTTTAAAATTCTACTCTGGCATTTCTTCAAAAAATTATTTAAAAAATCTTCAGGACCTCGGAGCTGCAATTAAATATAATAATATTTTATAATAATATTTTAATTTGTTGGCTGTTCTTCGCTCCACATGAAGTGAACTGATGCGTGAATGCACCACTGGAGTCGTGACCGCGGGCAGATTTACATAGTGCTCAGTTCAATTCTGAAGTCAGGTTCCACTGCTGCCATTCCTCACTGAGATCTGAGTCTGCAGATGCTCACTAACACTGAACAGTTGAAGACCCAGATGGTTGAAACAAAAAAATGGGATCAAACACAGTGTGTGTGTGTGTGTGTGTGTCAACAGTCCAGGCTGTTGCTGCTCCTGCTGGTGTAATACTATAGCAAATGTTTTCTTGGCGCTCCTCTTTAATTAATAACATTTAGTGATGTAAGTAGTGTTCAAGGGCCCAATAAGCCAACAGATTGTGGTGGTAAAACAGGAGAGTGGCGACATAAACATAGGAGTGACAAATCTTCACGGCGCTGCGCGATGCAACTGTGCCAACAGGAATAAAAATGTCCAAAAACCCCAACCAAATGAAGCCAGGTGGGACGTTATGATGAGGTTTAACGAGGTTTTACAGTAGTTTGACTCTTTGTATATTTTAATTTCTAAATGGAAACATTTTAACTGCTGTGAGAGACCACTTTTAAGATTATTATTAATATTTAAAGTTGTCTGAGGACAAATTTGTATTAAATTCTACGGACCACTAGGTCTCTTAGATTATTATTAATATTTAAAGTTGTCTTTAAGAGGACAAATTTGTACTAACTTCTACGGACCACCAGGTCTTTGCCCTCAGCTCTACTCAGAGAGCACCACTAGTCTACATATAGGTGGTTGCCTAGTGCGCCATCTGCTGGAGAGGTGACACAAAAACAAACGGTTCGTTTTATGTAACAACTTGAATTTACAAAGGGTTTTACATTTTTCATTTTTGTCTCCAATAGAAAGTGTGTTTGGACACCACCATGTTTTTGCATATATATTTATATGTATATAATTTTCAGTTACTACATTAGATGCTAAAGGTGTTGTTGTCATGAGTCAAACAGTCTTCCTGACTCGATTCCTTTTCTAATCAATCATTCGAGGCGATGTGATGAGATATTTAAATGAGCACATATTGTTGTGATGAACTGCAGAGACCGGGCGTGTGTGCATGGTCCCACCTGTGTGAGAAGCAGCCTGAAGGCCTGTGATGCCTCCTGGCTGAGCTCCTTCACTCCCGTCTTCTCCACTGCCTCCATCACACGGAGCAGGTCGGGCTCCAAAGGTACTGCCGTGCTGCTGTGCTTCAGGAGCTGCGGAACAAACACACTTGTAAGGCGTACAATTGTACACAGCTGCACTCACATTCAAATAATTGTTGTAGTTAAGTGGCTGAGTTTGTGTGTGTGTGTGTGAGGAATAGGACAGGATGTAGAAATACCAGACTCTATAAAGAATCAAATCAAATATAATGAAGTCACACGCCGCACTATTTGTTCGTGAAGTCAATCGACTCTGCTATAATTAAAGCGTTCAAAGCTGCAGCTCTGAACACAATAGAAATATAGTCATTCCATTTTAATTCCAAACCCTTCCTCCGCAGGGTGCTGCTGAGGCACTCTGTGTTCTCTGTAAAATAAAATAAAAAGCTGCGTGAAGTACCTATCCTGTCGGAGCACACGATCCAACCAGCTACTGTCTCTGGAGCCTTGTAAAAATGGATCCGTTAGCCACTACATTAATGTTTAAAATCTCATATACAGCAGTGTACTGTATATAACCTTCAGTTAAACGTTGACACCTTGAGTGGTGGGAGGTGAAATTTTACACATGGAAACCGGGTCAGGTCTAATAACAGGCAGAGAGAAGAGCTGGCGATCTGCCTTTTATTTTTCTTGAGTGTTTTTTAAAAGTGGTGGTAAAAAAAAACAAAAAACGGTAAAGTTTCTAATCCATTAGCGAGGGCAATAAAAACCCCGCCAGCCTCGTCTTTTACGCTGCCCTCGTCCTGTGACTGACAGCTACATTTAAATTCCAGTTTGATTTCCTAACCCGTCTATTACACCTTACTGTGGATATCATATCAAAAAGGCTGTAACGATGCCGTGAATCAACCTTGGACTTTCTTTCTGTACGCTACAGTCTGTGTGTGGCGCTGAGCCTTCAGCCTGCTTATCACCGCGCTCTTTATTCAGTCTTATCACTCCAGGAGTACCGGAGTATTTTTAACTACAAACTTTAGATACGGAATATTCATCAGAGCTCACAGCCATGCATGGAACCATTGTGTGTGTGTGTGTGTGTGTTGGTGTAAACCTCTTACGAGTGTGATGAGCCTGAGAATGGCAGGGTGCACGAGACAGCTCTCTCCTGGGCCGATCAGGCAGCAGAGGAGGAATCTTGTCCATGGATGGCACACTACATACTTCGCTAATGCGCCCACACACACACAGAAACACACACACACACACAGAGAGAAGAAACCCAAGGGGGGACAGAGAGAGAGAGCAGAAACCCAAGGGGGGGAAAAAATCACTAGGATTCCTAATTCAGATCAGTACAATTCAATTTGCACCTATTTCTCCTGCTGCAATTACTAAGATTGGGAAACGACTGAAACTTTGCCAACGGCCACAACAACAACAGCAGAAATGCTACTGCGGTGGGGATAAAACAAAGTGAGACACAAATCAACAACAGACGCTAGCGCTAACACTCTCATTATCTCAAAAACACAATTTCTCTCTCTCTCTCTCTCTCTCTTTCATACATGAACCAGCAGAGATAAACCAACACTCACACATTTGACCACTATCTGCTGTTATACCTGTAATATGACTCTTTCTCTGCAGGAATCCCAGCAAGGAGCTCAGACAGTTGACCGAGGCTCTCAGTAACAGCTCGTGCTTCTGGGAAGAAGAGAGAAACAAAACAAAAAAACAAACCACAGACCAGGATCTTTATCAACCTGCAACAGCTTTAATTGTTTTGTCACTTTGAGTCAGCGAGGCTCACGGAAATGTGACATGTGTCTCTGTGATGTGACTTGTCAGATCCCGACGCAGATGTACAGGAAACAGACGGTATCACCCATCCCCACAGACACACACTCCTACAGACACATGGTCATTATGGGACAAAGATGAAGAGAGGAAAAAACAACAGAGAGGAACAGAAGCACAGAAACGCAGCCAGACTCTGGTAATGCGGGTCTCACACAGAGGCAGTGCAGCCACCGAGTGCATCACACTGTCCAAAAATACTTAACTAGGCCAGGTGGGTACGTGGAAGACAGTCAGGACTTTCAGCCTAATCTTGAGGCAGGAGAAAAGAAAAGAGTGGAGGTTACAAAGAGAAGGAGAGGAGAGGGAGGGGGAGTAGAAATGGCTGAAGGTGAGAGGAATGAAAGAGGAAACCGATGAGTGCAAAATCATTAAGGGTCAGGAAATTGGATGGCAAGGAGAGAGGAGAAAACAAGCGTAAAGGAGAGAAGCTCTGAAGCACAGATTCTCCTCCTGCCACACACGGAGAGACACACACGGGGGAGAGAAGGAGGTAAGTGTAACTGCTATCAGCCACTGAGCAGCAGACGACAGAGCACTGAACCATAGAAGGGAAGCTCGGTTCTGCTCTAGTCTCGCCGAGGAAACACCACTGGTGTGGAACCAGGAGCTGGCAGGGTGCAGCAAAGTCACAGGATAAAAATAATCTAACGCAGCATGATAAATAAATCTGAATTTCTCCCTGCAGCAGGTTCATGTAACGTTACAATAACAAATACTTTAATAGCCCTTAAACACCCACCATAACTAACACTCACCTCTGCACTTGAGTCACTCACCACCATACACTTCTAGTAACTAAAGGTGACTGACATGGACTGCCCTAAGAACCAGTATGTGTCGGGTGTGTGTAGAAGCCACCAGTGAGACAGAAAATGTTTTTAAAAACCAACGACTAAACCTGGACGACTAAAACCCCACACTAATAAAAGTACATTTTTTATTCATATTAATTTGATAATGTTGTGTAAATCTTTGCATTTAGCAAGATTTGAAAAAGAAAAATTAACCTTATTGTTGTACATATGAACGTCTGTTTCTACGAGCTCTCAGATTGATTGGGTTCACGTTATCTTAACTGCGGCTGAATAGAAAACCTGCCTTCATTATATTTTATTGTATTTTATTGTATGACTCCTCAGAGGAGATGAAGAGGCTCCAGTACAGAATACAGAGCCGGGTCATGAACCATATTTATGCAGCGCCTCTGTGCTGTATCGTATTATATGTTCATAAAAAAAAAAAAAAAAAAAAAAAATGACTAGGTTCAAATTAATGTGAAAATCAAAGGGCTGTGTCAAGATCAACACACGGGGGAGTAGTTCAGTGGACGGTTGGGGTTCGCCAGATAAAACACATCACCGTGGTTCTGATTAAAAGCCTACGTACTACCTTGTTTTGCAAACTCATATTTCACACCGTGTTGGTTCTGGCTCCGCTCTGGCTGCGGCCCAGGAGAAGTGGAGGTTCTACAATTTAATGTAAAACAAATGCTGCAGGAACACGAGTCCGCCTCCTGCGTAATGAGTAACCTGAGCCAATACACCATCTACATGTAATAACATTTTGGAGACACCTGTGATTGCACCGGATCCGCAGGCCATTCCATTATGCTAACTGCTAAATCAATTGCAATCTAATTTTCTATGCAACCTTGTTAGTGAAAGGGAGGTTCAATGTCACTCTGTAAAGATTTTCTCCAAAGATTAACTGTAGCTGTGGATACAGTGAGGTGAAGGTAAAGAGGAGAAGTGTCTTCATGTAAATATTGAGTCCACAGCTCAGTAAAAGGTTAAGTCCCCTGTGTCCCAGAACATCCACCTATATATACATTTTACTCTTATGTGTCCCAGAACATCCACCTATATATATACATTTTACTCTTCTGCTTCTGCTGCATATTTCTTTTTTCAAAAGTCCGTACGAATCTTTTCAGAGCTACAAAATCTGAATATCTTAACAGTTGATCATTGTGTCTCTTCTGTCACCAAGACTTCCATTAAGAAGCCGTTAGGTTCATACATCGGTTCACAGCTCTTTCTACAATCTCTGCTGGAACAAACAGTATCTTAAGAGCCTTCACCGTTTAAATCAGCACACAGTGTGCTGCAGGTGCAATTCATCATTTCTATCATACCAAACAATGTGGAGTAAATCTTCTGATGTCAGATTCTTATAAGCCGTAACAATAAAGTCGGTAAAGACAGTTTTACGGCAAGAACGTCTGAACCACCTGAGCCAAAACAACAACAGTGGATGCCCAGTGTTATTTCTCTTTTTTTTTTACCACTAACTTTGCACAAACATCCCAACAAGAACAACATGACCTCTTCCATGTCCTGCTGTGTTTCTACTGTTATAGCCGTTTAAACTGCTGTTATGTTGTTGTTGGTTTTTTTTACCGTTTAAACTGCTGTTATGTTGTTGTTTTTTTGTGTAAATGTGCTGTTTAACAGTGTGTTATTATAGTTATACAAAACAAATTAAACTGTGTTAGCTTTTGGTGAAGCTAAACATTAATGCTACGTTTGAATAGCAAGTACTACAGACCTGAAAAAGAAGTCCACTTAGAGCGATTGTCAGACACTGAGCTCCTCTGAAGCCCAGTGGGTACAACGCTCCATCTTGGAATCCCAGTGGTCTTGGTCCGACCAATCCAGGACCAGTAGTCACAGACACCAGTCCTGATTCAAGGTCAACATCGAGTAAAGCCTGCAGTAGCCTCAGGTTGCTGGCTGAGAAGAGAAAAGGCAGAGCGAGAGAGACGAGCTGTTGGTAAACTGCAGAGAAGTCAAACGCATTCAGCGGGTGATGGAAATCATCCAACATATAAGGAAAGAAATAGGACAGAAGTGGAGCAGGCAAACAAAAGTGAAAGGCAAGGCCAGGGGAGAAACAGCTATGTAGTGTAACAAAATGTAGTAAACGCATCGCACGTAGAAGAATGAGAAAAGAAAGTAGATGGCAGGAGGAAGTAAAGCACAGAGGAGCCGCACAACAACACAGGGAATGGCCTGGGGGCAAGTTTTGATTTGACAAGTAACGGAAAGTAGGGGCAAGGAGTTAAAGATGTGAGGGCCATGTGTAGAGAGTGTGAAGCAGTAAAAGACAGGGTTGAGCAAAGACCAGGAAAATAAAGTGAGGGAAGAAGGAGGTGCCGGGGGGGGGATGAAGAAAGACATGGGCAAAATGATCATGAAAAACAGAGTAGGATAAAAAAAAAAGTCAGAGCAACTTCAAATGCAATCATTCCATGTAGGCTGAGAATAGAAGTCCATGAGAGAAGAAGGACTCAATAAGAGACGCGGGGAGGGGGGGGAGGGGGATTAGAAATAAATAAATAAGTTAAAAGGCGTAAAAACAGAGATAAGATGGAACGACAGAATGAGAGAAGAACAGAGACAAAGACAGAGGGGGGAAGAGGGAGGGAGAGAGGAGAGAAAAGGGAAATGCAAAAAAAAAAAAGAAAAAAAAAAAAGAAAGAAAAAGAGGAAGCTAATACATCACAACAATCCTGACAGGCCACTTATCCAGCTGACAGACAGAGACAAGGGAGCAGCAGGGATGATCTGTCTCTGAGTGCTGCAGCAGGATGTGGGCCACTTTATGTAATCAAAGCATGTGAAAGACATGTACAGTGACTGGTTAGCTGCTAGCATTAAAGTCTGAGGGTGGATTTACAAAAAAAAAAAACGTTCTGTACATGTGTTAACTATCATGTGGTTCATTCAGCATATGGAGAACAGTCGGTTCTTCTTTGAACCAAATCCTTCACACATACTTTTGTGTCTTGGTTTTAAGAGCATTTGGGCAGAAAGGATGCAGCGAAAAGAGAAATCAGCAGAACGCACAATAACTGGATGAACAATAAAAGAAAAAAGAAAGAAAGGGGAAAAAAAAACCAAGCCGTGTACAAATACTCAAGACTGAGTCAGTGAGGCGTTCTTGGATTATACACGCCATCACCGTGATGAATTGTTTCAGCATCTGCTGCCTGCGAGCAAAGGAAATGTTTCAACAATAATCAATCAGAATAATTCTGTGTTTGTTACCCAGCAAAAGATTATCTGTGCTTCTCTTCTGAAGCAGGAGGCGCTGCACTGCTGTGTCCAGACTCCAGCCGATGCTCCTGTGGACCTTCAATTAGGGAGGAAGAGATAGAAGAAGGGAGAGAGAGTGGGGAGAGAGAAATAACAAGATTAGGCCGAAAACTGCTTTAAAAGAATATATATTACACCTGCAGTGCCAGCAGGGAGCAGGGAGAAAAGAATATAACAGCACAGTTTAACAGTTTTTCAGCCTCATCTGGACCTCAGCTACGCCGTATGTTTGTTTCGTGTCCTTGTCGGGTGCTTTGACCGTGGAAAGTTTTTATCCTGATGCTGCTCCGAGCTGCGACACGTACCTGAGCTGTGTGAGCATGCTGCAAGGTAATGAGGGAGGACAGGAGTAGATGACTGCAGCACAGCAGGGATGAAGGAGGCTGGAGTGATGGGGAGACGTAAGGAGCAGAGGAGGAAGAGGAGGAGGAGGAGGAGGAGGAGAGGAGTGTCTGTAACTGGTCCATCAGTCCAGAGTTGGACAGCAGCATGGAGACAGCTGGGGAGGGAAGAGGCACAGTGTCATCATCAGTGGATGGTAGAATCAGCACCCATGTGTCAGTGTTCGTGTGTGTCTGTGTCAGTGTCACTGTTCGTGTGTGAGTGTGAGTGTGTCAGGATTTATACACGGTGACTTGAAGCAGGCAACTACTCAGATTTATCACCCATCTCTGTGGCACCTGGGAGGTCTTATGAAACATATGTCAACCTAAAGAAACTTGTTAAAATACAGACAGACACACACACACACACACACACACACACACACCGTGTGGCAGTCACATTCTCTCTTTCACACCACATTCTCTCTGCCACCTCGGTCCTTGACCAAGTGATGAACACCACACACTGAATAGAATATCAGGTGATTCAACTGTGATACATTCTACTCTCACAGCCAACAATTCACCTGTACAATTTTCTTCCCACGTTTAAAAAAAAATCAAATTTCCTCCCGGAAGATCGTTACACATCGACAGACACCAAAACAATGTAGTTTGGTAACAAACGGACGTCTTTGGATTTATCCTTTGATCCACCTTTTATATAATCAAGCGACATTTTCTGTAGGTGTACAAACCTTTTGTTTTAGGTGCATATATTTCACACGTAAATATATATATATTTACGTATATACAGTATATATATCTATATACATATATATTTACATATATTTGTATATATTTATGCATATATTTACATATATATGTATATATATTTATGTATATATTTACATATATATGTATATATATTTATGTATATATTTACATATATTTGTATATATTTATGTATATATTTACATATATTTGTATATATTTATATATATATTTACATATATACACTATATATATGCTACCATTGTGCTGCACATACTAACTGTGTAGGCCAAGGCTGGAGTAACTGAAAGGCTGACTGTGACTAATGATGTAACAGATGGTGAATTAGGCAGCAAGACGAACAGTAAAGAAATGTTATGGACATAATTAGCTTTGTTTTCAACAGTACCTCAGCTCTCTGGACTGGGGACTTAATGAAGAACCGAGATATAAACCTGTGCTGTTTTTTTTTTTGTTTTTTTTTTTTGTCCTTGTAGGCTTGAGCAAGCAAATTATTTAGATTATAATAAAATCCGTTCCAGTCAATATGGCATGTCATATAATTATTACTGTTGGCAGAAGACGGTGTAACATGTCTTCATTAATCAGGCTGAATCCTGCTGATTGCAGCACAACGTAAGTTATCGTTATTAAGTTTCCTCCTGGAGATATTTTCTTCTATATTTAGGCTCATTGAGTCCAATTTGGTGGAGGCTCGGTGAATCGCTCCCTTAGTGGTTCGAGCCTTTATGGGAACAGAGTCCTCCGTGCCTCGTTCTCCCAGTTTCTCTTCATGCTCGCTCTTCCTGTATCTGTGATTTTGTGTTTTTTGCGTACTGCCCAAACAAGGTGACTTAAAAGATGAACCATTTTAATGAAAAATGTCATGCAATATCACACAGCCTGTGCATCATCGTAGATGTATATGGCAGGACCCAGCTGGTGTGCTTTTCTTAGTGTCTGAACACCTATGGAGTCAGACTCCAGATTCCAGTTGCTGCAGAACTGTGATGTGTGAAATATAAATATAAATATAAATATAAATGTGTATAGAGACGGGTGGGAGTTTCCTCACCTCTATCAGTACAGTGTTCAGGGCAAAGACTCAGGCCACAATAGAGGTAGTTCAGGGCAGGAAGCAGGCTCTCTGTGTTGGTAGATGTTATCCGTCCTGCTATATTACTTACTAGCACACACACACACACACACACACATAAGGAAAGGAAAGAGATAAAGACATATCACTTGTGTGTTTAATATTTTATCAAAGGTGCTTCTTTATCTTTTTTATATCTTCTGTCAAAAGACAATGTGGCAGATAAGAAGAAGAAGAAGAAGAAGAAGAAGAAGAAGAAGAAGAAGAAGAAGAAGAAGAAGAAGAAAGAGATCTAGGGATGAAATATCAGACGTCAGTGCTGTAGTAAATATAATATATATATATATAAGTATTATATTTTGTTGACTAGAACTAAAATAAAATCAATTGACTAAGTAACAATTTAGTCAAATGACTGAGACTAAGTAAAAACCCTGTGTATCTGTACAGTGGGGGGGGGTTGACTTTTTGGAGTAAACAGATTGCATGCTAAGCTTTATATAACTTATACAACTCTGCTACTATTTTATAAAACCGTTTTCTTTTCAGCTGATAGAATCATAGTGGATTTGAATTCATTGTCACGACCACATTTGGCTCTGGAACACATTCTGCAGCAGAGCACGGCTACAGTAACGCAGGGTGTCGTGCTTGTGTACGCTGGCGTCTGTTTATCCTCCTTTTGGCCTCACCGTGGTAGAGCAGCTTGAAGTGAAGCTCATTCATCTTACTGTAGGAGGAAGTCAGAGGAGGGTCAGTGGCCTGTGTCACACACAGCAGCTTCAGCACCAGAGGGAGCGAGTTCACAGCTGAACAGAGAGGCGGAGAGAGAGAGAGAGAGAGGAGTAAGTTTGTATGGAAGCAGTTTTGTCAGAGATGTACTCTGGTATCAGTGTCGTACTGCAGAAGGTATTTAGGGACAATTCTGTCATTACAGTAGAGACGCAAAATACCTGAATACTTGACTACAAGACCATCAGAACATTTACAAATTAAATAACAATTGACAAGATCTACTGTTAGTCTGATCCTCCCAGCTGCTCTTGAACCGAGCAGTTAAAATGGTGGACTATCATCAAGTTAAAGACTTAACCAGCAGTAGATGAGCAGCAGTGCAGGCTCAGGGGTTCAGTGGCAGGGTGCAAATAAAAGAGGGTTATTTGGCCATTAGAGACGTTAAACGACCGCACGTGTTAATGTGAGTGTGAAGAATGGCTGGTCTCTCCCCTGTGTTGGTGCAGTGATGGACTGGGCTTCAGCCCTGGGTAAACAGCACTTTCATCATAGTAAGGACAAGTTAGAGGATACAAGAGGACAGTAGTCTATTAGAATATGTTGCAATTATATTGTGTTAGCTATTTTCAATTAAATTCCCTCAATGACCTTCTTTAAAAGGGTCAATAAAATATGAAAATATGAAGCGTATGGAATGAACATTCCAACACACTCACTTACAGCCATCTATAATCAACTATTCAGTCAAATTTATATATGAAATTCAAATTATAAAGTTACACAAATTATGTAGTCAAATTCACGGGCATTCTTGTTAACGTGCTAATTTCATTTAATCGTCGCTGACTTAAATCAATGTTCCTTTTCAGGAATGTCGGACTCCCACTTGGTAGTGGAGATTCTAAGTAGAGGAATTCTACCAAAGTAGCTCTTCGTCATTAATATTTAGTGGGCATCTCAGAGCAAAATCAGGCCAGATGTGTCCACCGTTGCTGGCAGTTTGTAAGATTGAGATTGAATTAAGTTTTTCTCAGTGTTTCTTGCACAGGCTGGAAACTGTGTCACAGTGTATTTGTTTCCCTGCATCTCACACTGTACTGTATGTGCCCACTGGGCAAACACACACGGGGGTTCGTGCAAGGCCAGGACAAATTCATTTAAAGCTTTCATTTGTTTTACAAAATGGAGTAAGAGAAAATCAGCCTGGAAGGAAGTGGAAGTGTCGCCCTGATCAAAACAAACAGAATGATTATTATGACGATGTCAGGGGTGCCAAACTGATGTCACATCAGGGTATCCAATATGAAATCTCTGCAGAAGATTATTCTGGGATGTTTCTGCAGATAAGAAAAAAATAACAAGATTGTGCAGAAAGAGTGAGATAAAAATGTGTCTGCACATAAGGAACCTAATGTAGCATTCGAAATCAAGACGAAAACAACAAAACATAAAAGCTGACAGCTCCATGGTCCGTATGGGAGTTACCTTGTAGAGTGGTAATACTTGAACAGCTGGATTAAAAAGCACCAAAAAAACAACAGGTCCTTGGATAAACCTGTGGTCTGTGTGACTGCAGTCTGTGTTTTTGGCTGGGTTAGTTTCATCTAGTGTTAACGCTGTTTCTGATTTAAGGTGAAAACGTATAATTAATGCACATTTAACATTACGAGAACTGAGAACCGTGTACTGATGCATAGAATTCTATACATATAAATATATTATATATAAAGGAGTCAGTTTGATGTTTCTGATTGAAAAAATGGTATGCCCAAAATGATGATGAAAACAATTATTTCTCAGCAATTATAAACTCTGTGCGCATGATCTTGATATGAAAATAAAGACATTAATAGAATTTAATCAGATGAATAAGCATTTGGGTCACACAAAATTAAGGATGTAAGAAAGAAAAAGATGACCTTTTGTCTTTTTAGAGCATTTAACATTTAACTCTAGAGCAGTGAACTCCCAGCAGTGAGAGAACCTTTGGATCTTTCTTAACACACCGCAGCCAGGGGAGGACCAGAACCCATGACCCTTCGGTAACAAGCCTCAGCGAGGCTGCCCAACACTCTGACAATATATTGACTAAAAATAAATAAATAATTAAAAACTTCACTCCTTCAACGAACGGTACAATTCTTCAGTTCAATATTCCTCCAGTGTTTCTCACTCACTCTCTTTGGGTCGTCTCTCTCCGAGCGCACGTCCTGCCATCTCCAGACTGAACTGCCTTAATGCCTTGAGAAGAACTGGTCTGACTTTGGCGCACAGGTCTAACTCGTACTTTCTTTCTCCTTGCAGAAGCAACTCAAGGACGGCATAGGCCCGATCTGCCAGAGGAGGCTGTCTGACGAAGAGCATGTCCTGTAATAAAACAGTGACAAACGTCAGGTGAATAAAACCTTACACGTACGTATAAGTGTTTTCTCTTGAACGAGAAGTGTTTCTCACCAGAAGTGTTATTACGACCGCTGGATATTTCTCTATCAGGTTAAGAAGATCCACAGTTTCTTTGTCAGGCTTCTGATGCTGAGTCTGATCTTCTTTTGTCTCTCCCTAGAAACAATAATTAAAGACCGAACACATTCACCCGTTGATGTTCAAAAGTGCAACCAACTAAATAATTGTGTGCAGATTAAAGCTGAGACAGACATTCAACAACTGCCCTCTTACCCCTGGCTCTGCTACATCTGTCACTGCTCGTGTCTGCTTGGTTAACCACAATTCCAGGACAGCGGCCCCAAATTTTTCAGCGAGCTCTGGATAACGGCAGATGAAATGGAGCAGTGCAGGATGGTGAACGTAGAGGGAGGAGAAGCTCTGGCAGGAGGAGAGAGCCGTATTGATGCAGTTCAAAGGAGTCTGGTTAGATATAGAGATTGAAAAGATTTCCTATAAGGTCTGAAGGCACACATTTCAGTTAATGGTGTGGTTCCTACAGCTCAGGGCAGGCTCAATACAAGACATTTAAAAAAATACCCTCTTAATGCCACCTGAGGTTTAACCTGCACTTTCACAGAGAACAAAGTGAACACACACACACAGTCACACACTGCATTACACAATGTTGAAGGCAATGAGGCAGATGAAGGTGAAATGAAATATATTCAAACACCGTAAAGAAAGAATGCTCACAATGGTGTTTCAATATCTGCATCCTTAAAAGACCTGATCAATTTACTTAATTCAAGCTTGTCCTTGCAGGAGTGTAAAGTGACGAGGCATAAATATAAAACATTTAAATTAATAAATGTTAAATGTTGAAGCATTTATTGAAACGTTTACCCTGTCGAGACTAGGGCTGTTGTCCTGCGTCACTGCCAGCAGATAGAGGGCAGAGCGGAGCACGCAGCGCGGCAGGACACAGCTGACCTGCTCCTGCACGGAATGCAACAGCCACAGTACACTGGAGAACACGGTCTGGTCAGGGAGAAGCCTAAACACACACATACACCTGGTTGTGAAACATTTCGAGGGTTAGAGGCTCTCAGGATTAGTCTAAGGGCAATAAAGTTGACAAACAAACAAAGTCTGTATGCAAAGCAAATAGCTGAAGGAGGCGTGTGTTGATGTAGCAAACTCAATGTGCTCTTTCTCACATGACACATGTACACAAAGTGTACACAAACACGGCGAGTAGCCGCGAAAGCCGGCTACTCATCGTTACGGTTCTCAAGGTGAAAAACGTGGAGGTGATGACGACACAGAGACACCAAACATTCAATCATGGAACTGATTTTTTACTCACACAAGGCCAATCGACTAATTTAGCCCCACCTTGTGCTGATACCTCGTACTGATTTTATACATATGCCGTACACTGAGACCTTCTGCACTGTCTAAAGGCCACGGCCATTTTTCTTGATGAATCACAGAGTGGCAGAGAGAAACTTTCATCCTGCTCCTCTGGGGTAATACATAGCCAACATCCCCCTTGAAGGACAGATTAAACTTTGCAAAGATGCTGGAGGATCGTCAGGGTCATAAAATATCGACCCAACAACAACAACATTTCTAGGCGGAACAGTGCTGCTACACGGCAGGAGGAGAGTTACACTGACGTGAGGACGAAAACATATTCTTCTCAGAACCTAGAGATGCAGCGATGCAGAGGAACTCTGATGGTTTAGTACGACACTTCAGCCTTTTTAGCAGATACAGTCAGATGGAGTGGAGTCTGTTTTTTAGCAGATACAGTCAGATGGAGTGTAAAGAGTCTGGACATTACTGTTCTGTCCTTTTTTTAATACATTCACTTAATCATATGTGTCTTTTTTTCCTGATGAACCCATGCACTTACATTGTTTTCAAATGATTCAAACACTTAAAATGTCAACTCGAGAAAAGACATCCCGACACATTACCTGTCTCCCTGTTGAAAGGCAAGGTGTAGTATCACCACCAGACAGTACTGCGTAGATCTCGGCCCGCTGTGTTCGCTCAGTTGGGGTCCGGGGTTCTCGTACAACAGAGAGGGCCAGTCGGACAGGGGACAACACAGGGAAGGGAGGTTGTGCAGAAGAAGATTTTCTATTTCTTCAACATCTGTGGAACGGGCAAAAAAAAAAAAAGCTTTGACAAGTCACACTATAATATATAGTGATGTCACATTACTCCACATGCGTATGTGAAGACAACAATGGTGGGCAAAAATGTATGAAGAAACTGCTGAAGACGGCAACCAATATTCCTGTAGCCACGAGCCGTTTGGGGCAAAGGACAGTGACAAAAATATTTTAGCAGCATAAAAGATTGGAGCTTCTCCATCCTCGCCCCTCGTGGTGTGAAGGTGGGAATAGAGATAAAGTTGAGGTGAAGAATATGAGATGCTGTCTGGATAGTCCTGAAAGAAAACGCCATATGAATGCAGGAATTTTGCAATAGAATACAGCCTCTTGCAGGAAAAAAAAAAGGTGGGACATGGGATGAAGGGATGAAAGAAAGCCAACAGAATAAAGTATCAGAGTGAATCAGAGGTGAGGTGGAGGGAAGCACCAAAGAGAAAGAGAGAGAGAGGAGGCAGAGAGACATAGCAGATGGTGAGAAGGGTCACTGAAGCCTGACTACTTTAAAGCCTTGGAATGGCCTCTGTGGAGTGAGGCTACCATCCAGTCGGAGCAAAAATTCAAAAATGAGATAAAGGAGCCCAGAGAGAGCAGAGAGAAATACAAAACAGAAACCTTAGAGGACAAGTGTCTGGGTAGAAGGAGCCAGCAAAACCATGACAATACAGAACAGAGGGGATGTCAAGTGGCAGCTGCTGAGAGAGAGAGAAATAAACAGCACTACATCAAAATATACAAAATGAGCCACAGATGCAACCTGTGCTTCTTGGTGAGAATGTGAAAGGAGAGGAGAAGAATGGAAATATGCTGAAGAAGAAGAAAAAAAACAAAACACAGTCAAGTTTGAGGGAAAATGCCAGTGATGACTGCAGACCAGCAACAGAGAACAGATACATCCTGATGATGGATTAGCAACACCAGAACATTTAACAAACACAGACTGCAGCCGCTCAGAACAAATTACAAGGACAAAGAGCCAAACTAATATTTGTTCATGTCTGGTTATCTGAAAATGATACAGAGACAGCACCGAATGTTTTCTGAGCAAGAGAAAAATGTACCGTAGATAAAAAAAAAGACAAAGTAAAATTCCGGAATGAAAGCGCAGGAAAATAAGATAAAGCTAGAGGTCATGAAGGAAAAAAAAAAGGCGAAAAGGCAATTGAAGGGACGGAAAGTGTTTAAAAGAAGAAGAAGGAAACAACTTCGTCTGCAGCCTCGAAAATAACAAACAAACACATTCACACATTTGTCGGTGCAGCTCTCACACCTTACCTTAGAGACATCTCTGCTCTCAGAGTCATAAAATGTCTCCAAGGACAAGAAGTAGTTTAAAAAAAAAACTCCTTTTACTTTCTCCAAGGACAAGAAGTAGTTTTTTTTTAAAAAACCTCCCTTTACTCTCTCCAAGGACAAGAAGTAGTTTTTTTTAAAAAAACCTCCTTTTACTCTTCAAGAAAAAGAAAAAGATGGAAAATTTGATTTCACTAAATTATAATTTCATACCTAAATTAGCATCTAAAGCAGTTGGAAAGCGTAATTATAATTTCATACCTAAATTAGCATGTAAAGCAGTTGGAAAGCTCTTTTTCCACGATATTGCACACGTCAAGTTTTCTTTTTCTTTTATTTCATGAAGTGAGAATGTAATTAGATGTTTGGATTACAATTAGTGAAATTGAGTAACAAATCTTTAAAAACTCAACATCAAAACAACATGGTTTCTCTCTAATGGCGCTGCCTGAGGTACTGGGTGCTGGGTGTGAGCACACGCGTGCATACTTGAATACCTTGTTGATGGGATTCAGAAGGAGCTTCTGACTGGGGCAGCAGACACATACTGAGTTTCTGTAGAAAATCACAGCAAGATGCATTCAGCTCCACATTCCTGGAAACAAAAACAAAACATACAAAAAGGATGAGCAAGAACACAGAAGCTGTAGCCAGACAAAAAAACCCACACACAAAATAAAAAAAATACTAGTTTTAATTTACTCATCCAGATCAATACCTTCTAGCCTAATCAAAGGTCAGCACAGCATTATTTTTTTTTTTTACACAGGATGTGAAGTCTGATGCAACACAATTTGGGATTGAGGACTACTTTAGGAGAAACTGAACTCAGAAACTTCTGCAAAACAGATAGAAATCCCAGCGCTATTCCATTGTTTGGGAAATATGACATAACAATCTCAAACAGTTTTTTACTGCAAAGAGACATCTGTTTATGAAAAGCAACTGTTCCACACTCCCTCTAAAACCCATGCAGCACACACACACAAAAATGCACACACACACACATTCTCAAACTTAGTGAAGAGTGACAGTATTGGAACATCATGATAACTTAATTAATGTCATTCCACAGGGAAGTGCATACAGAACACACAGCAGAGACACTGTAGTGATGCTGCGAGTCAGAAAAACAGACGCACATGACATGCAGGAAAATGGAACCTCCCACTGAAAAATGCAGTGGGTTTCTGACACACACATACACACACACACACATACGCACGGACAATGTAGCACCAAAACAACCTGTGCTCACTTAGAAAATGTAAACATATGCAGACAACGCTCTCGTTTATTGTACTGTACTTTATTTCCCTTTGGATGAATAAAGTATTGATCTATCTATATACAGTATATATCTATATGTTTATCTATCTGTCTATCCATCTATATCTCTATCTATATATCTAGATGTCTATCTATCTATCTATCCAGCTATATATCTATCTATATAGTATCTATCTATCTATCTCTATCTCTATCTATCTATATCTCTATCTATATATCTACCTGTCTATCTATCTATCTATCTGTCTGTCTATATGTCTATCTATCTATCTATCCAGCTATATATCTATCTATATAGTATCTATCTATCTATCCAGCTATATATCTATCTATATAGTATCTATCTATCTATCCAGCTATATATCTATCTATATAGTATCTATCTATCTATCCAGCTATATATCTATCTATCTATCCAGCTATATATCTATCTATATAGTATCTATCTATCTATCTATCTTTGAAGCTACAGATCCGTCGCCCAAAGACAGACACACCGCTGCGACATTAGCAGAGACGATATTTTTATCTATTGTTCTGACACTCAGTCGATCACAAGAACTGAACTTTCACAGCTGTCGTAGTGTAAGCACACACACACACACACACTCACACGGTTGTGAATGGTGTTTGTTATGTTGCTGTCCCCCGTGACAGTGTACCTGCTTGCTGCACAGAAAAGGCCTTTGTGTTCCAGAGTCAGTCTGTAGAAACCAGAGGACGCTGTGAGACGGAGGGAGGGGAAGAGGAGAAAAAAAAGAAGAAAAAAAACTGGTTATAATCACTGGGGCAAAAAGATTTAAAGAGAGAATTCTGAACAAATCATTGGGACACTGGATGAACAACTGCAAACCCCGACCTGATGCAGATCCTCTACACATTATACCCACACAACGCACTTAAGGAGCTCATCTTATCTCAGCCCAGAGACGCATCGTAGGAAAGACGGAGTATGCTTCACATACAGAGGGACAGTTTAATTCCATAATGCTACAAACTCACTGTCTTCTGGCTCAATGCCCAGGTACTACTCAGTCATAGCTGCTGCTGGAGTTCTAAAGCTGATGATTCTTGGTACTGACATTCCCAGAGCTAGGGAGTAAATTCCCAAGAAGGAGAAGGAGTTTAAACTGTCAGTTACACTGAATAATAAAAAAAAAAAACGGTAACTGGACTCTCTTGGATTTACCTCAAAGATCTTGTTTGTATTTAACACAGCCGCCTTCGAAACGTCAGTTGTTCAATCTACTGGATCTGTGATGATGTGTGACGATCCAGGCCACGTCGTTAAGTATGGATTACGTTACATAAGTGCAGTGAGTACGTTTGTTCGTAATGTTTTATAACCAAGTTTCATTTGAATTTGTGTGGGAGTCGTTAATCACTTCACTCCATAACGAAAATAATGGAACACTGTTAATAATATATAATACGGAAATAGGGTGTAGTATATAAGTGACCACATAGTATTGCAGTTAAAGTTAATGAATAGGGCAGGAATAAAGTGATAAAATCGTACTGCTCTATTACTGAGTGTAGACACAGCTTTTGTATTGCTATTGTTGTGGTTTAATTAAATAAACAATATAAAACACTGTTTAAAAGGTGTTTTTTTTTTTTAAATAAATGTTACCCAACAATAGAAAGCGATTACCTTGATAATTAATTTCTGCACTTGGTACTAAAACAGCAACAAGTAATTTATTTCTGTAAGTTGACAAGCAGTAACGAAGCAACAAAGAATGAGTGTAGGAGATGTGACTATTCAAAAACAAGTCACTGGTGTCTCCACTTTAACAGACAGACACCAGAAATCATCAAATTGGATGCAGGGAGGTGAACAGGTTCCACCTGAAGAGAACATGTGATGCTGAATCAGCTCATGAGGCAAAGTGTCACAGACGAGACTCACACAGCTTATTTGCGAAGAGTGGCATAAGACGTGGGAGAAGGCTGAACTGGGAGGCCAGGATGGAGTAGAACTTCTGCAGGATGTGAGGGTTGGCTGCACGCTCGCACATTCTCTACACACAAACAGTAGGAAAAACATGTTTTTAAAAAAATGGACTGAAGCTCCTTTTTATTTGTTTTTTGTTTTTTTGACAGCAGAAACTGATGACACATTTACGACGTTATTGCGAGTAATAATCCATTCATTTAAACAGAGCTGAGGCGCTGATGTGTAAAATGTTCACGCGTACACGGAGCTAATGAAGACGGAGGAGATGAAGTCTGTGTGTTTGTGTGTGTTTGTTAATAAAGTCATTTGGAGTTGTCTCGCCAGACACTGTAATCACTGTGACCCATTTCTCTGGGAGGAGAAGGCGGGCAGTGTGGGATCATTTTTTGTTTTTCTTGTTCAATTGCTTGGCAAGTGTATGTGACGAAGGAGAGACAGGAGGTTGAAATGAGAAGATGATGAATTGGCTGTGTGCGTCCGTGTGTGTGTGTGTGTGTGTGTGTGTGTGTGTGCCCGACCCTCACCGTGACGGTGGGGATCCAGACAGAGTCGCAGCAGTGGAGCAGACAGTGACACAGAGACTCCAGTGAGTCCTCAGTCTGACTGGTTTTCACTGGAGCTGTGAAGACATTTTCTTTCAGAACTGGATCTGACGCACACTCCTCAGCCAACCTTGGGAGAACACACACACACACACACAGACACAAAATCACACAGCAAAGATTTATTAAGTGTTTGCACTAAAATTAAGTGCTGATGCACTGAGGTTATAAACTCAGTGAGTCACAAATTCAAAAAGAAGGAATTTTTTTTTCCTTTCTATTAATGCAGCAAAATGAAGCTGTCTGATGTGCTTTCAAGTAAAGAATTTTCTAAAGTGATCCACTATTAATAAATAAAAAAAAAAACTTCATTTTTAACCCTGCTCATAAAATTTAATTTCCATGGGCCTGTGGTAGGCGTCTGAACCCTGCTCATAAAATTTAATTTCCATGAAAGAGACTCGCTTTATAACAGCGAGTCTTTCACAAAGTGCCAATTATAAAACAAAAGATGGCTGATGTTGTAACGTTGATCAAAAATTTCTTCAGTATGTGGAAAAACACAACTAGAACTGTTCATGTTTTCCACAGCCGTGGTCAGATAGTGCATGTTATGGAGCGGTTTGCTCCGTTCAGTGATAGATAACATCATCAGACAGTAACACTGAGCTCTTTCAGATCTTGGACAGTGTGCAAACCTGCAGGCTGCCTGAAAACAGACCAGGGCCTGGAGCAGGAACCCCTCAGACCTAAAAGCCTTTTTGCTCAAGCCTGACCTTTTCACACTCCCCTGGAGAGCAACAGAGACAGATGGGATTGAAACAACAGAAGAAACATATCCAGATATTTCATCATTCTATGAAAAGCACATCAAAGAATTGGCCCAATTAGGGAAAATGATGAAACATTTATCTGAGAAAACAAAGATTCTTCTCCAGGATAAATCCTACAAACAGTATAACAGCGTATATTCTCCTGTTCCTGTTCTTCCTCTTCCTTTTCTTGCCTTTGGGTCTAATTAACAAACCAAGAACGGTCCAATAAATGGTGTTATCAAAACTAAATTTATCTTACTGTATGTATGCTCCTGTGTTTTCACCGAGCATATTTAAAAAAAATATATCACATTGTCTAAATGTCAGCAACATTTCGTGCTAAACAAGTTTATTCTTATTAAACACTCCTCTAACAGTCTCATCCAGGTATGTAAATAAACCAGCGGCAGTAAGTTATCATTAAAAGCGAAGAACTAATTAGTATACTGTGGGAAATGAACATGACGATCCATCCAGGAAGCTTCCAGGGAAAATATGCAATGAAAATTATACATGTTTATAAGAAAAATGGCCTGTTCTCACGGAAAGAGAAACTATTTGTTAGTTTTATGCAAGTGTGCTGCCAGTAGAACATTTTATGGTCAATAATTTGCACAATGTAGTCACACAACAATTCTTTAAAAGCTGCAGAAAATTACTCAAATATTGGCATATTAGGAAAAGCAATTAAAAGTGACACAAGACATGACAACGACTCCTCCGTGGAGGAATGAGTGAACAAGTCATTCAGTATTTCATATTTTTGAACCTACAGAGCTTCGCTGACGACCCGAGGACAGGAGGTGCAGCTCGGAGAACCTGCTGCTGACGGCTTCTACCAGTCGTTCTATCTCTCTGTACTGAACTGGCAGGGATTGATGGTTCAGTCTGAAAGACAGTGACACGATTTAAGAAGCATTTTTGATGGTTCAGTCTGAAAGACAGTGACAAGATTTAGGAAGCATTATTTTTCATGTACAGTTGGTATCAAATAATCAAAAAAAAAGAGAAAAAAGAACCAGATAGAAACAAAACACAGGCATCTTTCTACTGTCTTAATTTTTTTTTTGTTCACCTGAAGAGGGCAGAAGCAGCGCTGGCGCCCTGAGTGGCCACTAGCAAGCAGGGGGAGGAGACTCCAGCCACAACAGCCTCCGAAACAGCCACAAACACTGGAGCGCTGGGCAGCAAACGCACACTTGGTGGCTGCCTGCAAACGTAATCGCATTAACACACACGTTTATCTGGCACCTCAAAAAATAATAAGGTATTTCTTTGAAAAATAAAAAAAAATAATAAGGTATTTCTTTGAAAATTAAACTGAAAAACTTTAGTAAAAAAAGTCTCATGAGCCTAATCACACTGAGAGTGTGGGCGACCACTGTGCAAAACAACTAAAGGGAGTATCAGTGATTTTAGCTGATGTGGGTTTGACATCATCTGCCTGTTGTGTGGTTGAATGTGTCAATAGTAGGAGAGCCTGATCTCAGTCCTCACCATTTACTTGTCACCTTTTCAGGACAATCACTCATAATAAACAAATAGTGCTGACCTACTGGCGTTACAAATATCACTAGCCTACATCCCTGCACTACAACATCTGTTGTGTTGTTGTAGCACTTTCTGGCACGGTGTTGTCACAACAGAAGTAACACAAGACAACTTAAATAACGCACACACGCACGCAGCTTATTCAGCGTTTTCTGAGCAGCGAGTCTAGCCTGTTTTTATCGCCGGTCCACTCAGTGTTAAGGACACAGTTCGTCATCATTATATCAATTATGTAAAAGCACAGCAGAGTTTTATAGGCCTGTAATATTAGTTATTATCTCCAGCAGAGCATTTTATTCAAACCTAAGTGCAGTGCATTGTGTTTGGCATTATTCTCAGAAGAACACCTTTCCATTTCACTGCAGCTGAAGTTACACATACTGTTTACTGCCATAATTAACAAATCGCAAAAACAAAAGGTAACGCGCTGACAGGTTGACCACACTTTCCAACAGTGGATTTTTTTCTTCTTCACAAAACATCTGAAAAGTACAAAATCAGTAACTCACTGCACTCACTGTTATGACAGATCTGCACATATATCTGCTCTCTGACTAAAAATCAATCATCTTAACGACACACCCGGTGCTATATAGAATGTTTTAGTACAAGATTGAAAGTAAACAATAAAAAACAAAAAAACAACAGAGCCTCAGTCTCACCTCTCCAGTATCAGAGTGAGCAGCAGCAGACCTTGTTTGTGCACCTCCAGGTTGGACATCTGCAGAGCTTCCTTCAGACTGTGCACCAGAGATTCAACACCTGGAACACAAGACGACACAAGCTCTGATACTGAACTTAACACAGCAGCACATACATACATACATACATACATACATACATGCATAAATACATGCATGATATACTAGCACAGCCATGCATGTGGACAGTAACTGTTATTTCCTTATTTACTGCATCACTGATTCTGCCGCTCAGATTTTCTGATTATACTGAACAAGAACGAGGAGAGAACACAGAGTGAAAACACTCTGAGTTAATTAACTCTGTCTCTCAACTAGTGCTTTTCATGACATCTTTTCTAAACTGTAGCTTAAGTGCTGAAGTGTTTACAGTAATGTCACAAACATAAGAAAACTCACAAACTCACTGACACATCATCTCTAAATAAAAAGAGCAACAGCATCAAACGTGTAAAGCCGTACACACTCCGAGTCTGTGTACTTAAAAGTACTTAATGACATTATGAGGCGCAAAAGGCTGGGAATACTTCCAACATCCACCACACTACGCTGCCATGAA